ACTGTCATCTACTTAAAAGGCCTCCAAGAGAAAAATAAAAAACAGCCATGGAAGCCTTTTCTGCTGATGCAAAGACACTGAAGAAGACTTTATTTCAGCCTTGAGGGCTGGCACTCGATTGCAACAGGCAAAGGTCACAGTCACAATCCTGAAAGGCTAGGAATGTCAGGATTAGTTTGCCGCTCACCGAAGGACGGCCTCTTCTGTTTTTAAACACATATTTACCTGCAATGGGGAAAGGAAAATGAAGCAGATGTTAGAAAACTGTCTGTTGTGGGGAATCCCATGGAAAAAGTCAACCCAAATGGAGAGCATTTTTCTTTCACAACATCCCTTCAGTAGCACAGTTCTTTCACACAGGGAGCAAGAGAAGAGCACAATATAGCAGGATGTTGTTTTGCAACAACTTCTTGGGCCGAGTTTTCTGCCCTTTTTTGCCAGGGCAGTTTCTATTTTTCTTATTCTAAATCAAATAAAGAGAAACTCAGTCAAGAAAAGGCACATTGTCCTTTGACAGTCATTGATTTCTTCTGCCCAAGAGCTAAAGCAGCTGTCCTCTCCTCCTACGCTCCACTATTCTCCCCCACACTCTCTAGAAGTTTGCATTTCATCACCAAAGCAAGAGCTATTTTAGCAAACATTGTGGCAGGTCACACTGTCCAACCTATGAATGATGGAATTTAGGGAAAAACTGGAGAGAACTGCACAGTCTTTAGAGGGACTTCTGAGGAACTCTGCCAATCTGCATTTGGGAAGTTGGATTGGCTGAAGCAGCAACTGAGGAAATTACAGACTCCACTGCCACGGATTAACCGTGTAGGGCACAGAACCCTGTGGGTTCAATTGCCAATGCTGCCCACACCCCCGTGAATGGCTGGAGACACCCCCTTTGGAGCAGAAGCTCTTGACATGAGCTTTACCAAAATCATGGTATCTGTGGGGCATTTTGGTTTCAAAGGCAACGCAGTCACTAAGGGGCAGCATAAACAACACATCGATCCAAAAGCCAGGTTGGCTGCACCTGGAGAAAACCTCTACTTACTTGCTAGATGGGTCAGCAGCCAGGGTTTGTCTGGGTCACAATAAAAAGCATAGGCCATAGGAAAAACCTGGCAAAAGGCGGCACAGACTCGCTGGAACACTTTAGCCATGCTGGGCAAGAGTTCCGCAGCCTGTGCACGCCAAGGAAGAAAAGGACACCCCTGGTGTCCACGTGCAGCCTGCTGGAGGTGATTGCCTCGACGAGGAGCACCCTCCCGCAACGAGCACGCCAAGCACACTGTGCACACGGAGGCTCCCGTGCACGAGGACAACGGTCCGTGCACCAGGACAACACTCCATGCACGAGGACAACGGTCTGTGCACCAGCACAACACTCCGTGCACGAGGACAACGGTCCGTGCACCAGGACAACATTCCATGCACCAGGACAACGGTCCGTGCACCAGGACAACGGTTCCAGTGACATCACAACAGCAGCTGCTCTAGCTTTGCTTGCAGATGTGTGCAGAGCCCCTGAATGTTTTCTACAGCTAATGTCAAAAAAATACTGGAAAATTCTCCTCTGTCACTGGAAACCTGTCCCACTGCACTGGAATGCCCTGTACAAGGAAAGCCCAAGACTGTGGGTTTAGAAGAGCCAAAAACCGCAGCCTCACAGATCTGCCCCATTTTAACCTGGTGCTGCCAAGCCCACCATATCCCCAAGTGCCTCATCTACATGTCTTTTAAATCCCTCCAAGGGAGGTGACCCTACCAGTGCCCTGTCCGGCCTGTTCTTGAAACTCAATCAAAATAAATTAAAAAAGAAAAAATTTACTTGCAGGGAGTGTGCCACTTTCTACTCTTACAACAGACTGTAGAATCATCCTCCCCACAGACAAGTGTACCCAGTCAGGACTTCCAGCTGGAATGAAAAATCCCCAGAACTCTCAAACNCCTTCTCCTCCCCCTCCCCCTCCCTTTCTTCTTTTCCTTTTTCTTTTCCTTTTTCTCTTCCTTTCTCTTCTTTTCTTTTCCCCAATAAAGCTGCCCCCAACTTCCCCTTAGCCATGACACTTCTCTTCTGACACAGCACACAAACAGCTCCCAAGTTTGGGACCACACACTGCTTCAACTTTGCATTTCATCACCAAAGCAAGAGCTATTTGAGCAAACATTGTGGCAGGTCACACTGTCCAACCTATGAATGATGGAATTTAGGGAAAAACTGGAGAGAACTGCACAGTCTTTAGAGGGACTTCTGAGGAGCTCTGCCAATCTGCATTTGGGAAGTTGGATTGGCTGAAGCAGCAACTGAGGAAATTACAGACTCCACTGCCACAGACTAACCCGTGTAGGGCACAGAACCCTGTGGGTTCAATTGCCAATGCTGCCCACACCCCCGTGAATGGCTGGAGACACCCCCTTTGGAGCAGAAGCTCTTGACATGAGCTTTACCAAAATCATGGTATCTGTGGGGCATTTTGGTTTCAAAGGCAACGCAGTCACTAAGGGGCAGCATAAACAACACATCGATCCAAAAGCCAGGTTGGCTGCACCTGGAGAAAACCTCTACTTACTTGCTAGATGGGTCAGCAGCCCGGGTTTGTCTGGGTGGGAACAAAAGGCATAAGCCATAGGAAAAACCCGGCGAAAGGCGGCACAGATTCGATGGAACACTTTAGCCATGCTGGGCAAGAGTTCCGCAGCCTGTGCACGCCAAGGAAGAAAAGGACACCCCTGGTGTCCACGTGCAGCCTGCTGGAGGTGAGTGCCTCGACGAGGAGCACCCTCCCGCAACGAGCACGCCAAGCACACTGTGCACACGGAGGCTCCCGTGCACGAGGACAACGGTCCGTGCACCAGGACAACACTCCATGCACGAGGACAACGGTCTGTGCACCAGCACAACACTCCGTGCACGAGGACAACGGTCCGTGCACCAGGACAACATTCCATGCACCAGGACAACGGTCCGTGCACCAGGACAACGGTTCCAGTGACATCACAACAGCAGCTGCTCTAGCTTTGCTTGCAGATGTGTGCAGAGCCCCTGAATGTTTTCTACAGCTAATG